AAAAAGACCCCGAATAGCCAAACCAATCTTGAAAAAGAAAAATAGAGCTGGAGGAATCAGGCTCCCTGACTTCAGACTATACTACAAAGCTACAGTAATCAAGACAGTATGGTACTGGCAAAAAATGAAATATAAATCAATGGAACAGGATAGAAAGCCCAGAGATGAACCCACACACATATGGTCACCTTATCTTTGATAAAGGAGTTAAGAATATACACTGGAGAAGAGACAGCCTCTTCAATAAGTGGTGCTGGGAAAACTGTGTGAATTCTTAGAATCGCATCTTGATCCTTTTTTCATGGACACAATATTTTATATTAGGATATTGATAGTTTTTTATTACTTGAAGTTTTCTTCTCCAGGCATATTGTTTCCTCCCAGATGCTGTCTGCTCTTGGTTCTATTTGTCTGTTATATGAAATGCCTTCCTTACATATGGATCTTTGGGTGCCTGTTCAAGTTTAAGAACAGGGCTCTAATATGTTATCTGGGAATTTCTGTAGGTGTGGGTGGGACCTGGTGGGTGAGGCTTTTTTTGTGAGGTGTTCTGGCCAGCCTGTTTCATTAGGGGGAAGTACCTTAAGTCTTTTATCTTAGGCTAGTCAGATTCCCAAGAAATTTCTTCAATTGTCTGCCTTCCGCCAGGAGGGACAAAGTCAGCTGCCAGTGTCTGGGAGCACAGGGGTAAAGAAGGCTGGTGGACACTCTACACCCAATACAGAAACTTCCACCAACCCTCCTCTCAGTAGAGTAGCCTCACTCTCTACTGTGCCTGGTGTCCTAGGCTTCTGCAGGGTGATGGAGGGGCAGCTGGCTGGCTACAAAGGGGAGCTGAGTGGGTCTAGAGGTCTGATGCTTTAATTGTCTTTCAACTGACCTACATTTTTAACCCCATTTCAATCCCCCTTCCAGAGGTTCCTTGTGCCAATTCTTCAGCCTTTGGCGGGGGGCGGGGGGGGGGGTCTTCCATGATGAAAACTGGGTTCTTAGATTTTCCTACAGCTGACCTAGGATCCCGCCTTCTTGGGTCTGCTAACTCAATCACAGTCTATCTGCTTTCCAGCATCCAAAATTTTGTTACAGTTGATGACTCTTCCTTTTCACCTTCATGGGCTTATGCCATTAAGAAAATCTCTTTCCTGTCATTTTAGTGGAGACTTCGGAGCAAATGGACCTAAATATGTGTTCAATATACCATGTAGTTATGGTATACTGTTTAAATTTCTAAAAATTCTTAAAATTTTTAAAGAAATTCTCATACCAGTAACGAAGATTTTCTTAAGTTTTAGATCACAAAGCATCTTTAACATGCATTTTCTTTGAAACTGATGACAACTATGTAATGGTAAAGATTATTGTTTTATAGATGAGAAAAACCAAGAAAAACGTGAGGTACACATCCTTTATTTAAAGCAAACAGAAAACGTATGTGCCAAATCTAGAAGTTTTTTTATAAGAATTTATTAGAAATGTTAAAAATCAAGAAACCTTGCATAAAAAAATCCAATTTTCAGCAGCTTGAAAAATTGGAAAATGGGGCAACACTGGGCCCACACTCCCCATGGGGACAACCATTTGGAGCTGAATCTGGGCTGCCTCTTTCAGGTGGGGCTGAGCCCTCCAATTCACCCCACCTCCACCCAGCTACTTCACTCATGTGTTACCAGGAGACATTTGTTTTGTTTTTTTTGCGGTACGCGGGCCTCTCACTGTTGTGGCCTCTCCCGTTGCGGAGCAGAGGCTCCGGACGCGCAGGCTCAGCGGCCATGGCTCACGGGCCCAGCCGCTCCGCGGCACGTGGGATCTTCCCAGACCGGGAAGACACGAACCGGTGTCCCCTGCATCGGCAGGCGGACTCTCAACCACTGCACCACCAGGGAAGCCCACCAGGAGACATTTGAATTTGAGGCCAGAAAGAAAGAAACCACTTTATTTGAAAAGGCAAAATGGAACTCAATATATATGCAAAAATAAATCTATAATGCAAGCCACTTCTCTGGGTCCACCCAGTGTCCACCTTGTCTAGGTTGAAGGGGTACCGCAGAGATTAGGAAAGTGAATAACAGGCACAAATGCAGAGAATATGCATATTTTGTCTCCTTTCCCCCACACAAGCTGCATATACTTGTGTAAACATTTTTGATTTGTAAAACATGTCTAGTACTGCAGACGAATGTGCTGGGACGAAAGGAAATGAAGTCACTAAAACAGCAACAACAGTAATTTACCTGGCTTGGTTCATCAAGGTCGCATTTGATGATAAATTCCCACAGGGCCTCAGGTGAGGAGGAGGGGATAAGGATATCCAGGTGCACAGGGGTTACGGATTTTTTCCTACTTACATCCATAAAGCCTGCTTTTTTTCTTTTTAAACCTACAGCAAAACTGAAAGAGACATTACACTCCAGTTTAACTTTAAATTTTATTCCCAGGATCCTCTAAATAAAAGCAGCTCTCAAATCCTAGCTCCAGCTTAGCCTCTAACCAGCAGGGTACTTGGAAAGAGTCTACCTTTCAGAATCTTGGATTCTCCATCTGTGACTGAAGATGCAAATTACATCCCCGACTCTGCTAATCTCCTGGACCTTCCCCTGTTTCTTGCACCTGAAAAGAGTCTCTGATGTCTCCCCAGTTGGGCTGGAATATCCTGGGGTTTTTTTGCTTTTTGCTTTTTTTTTTTGGCATGCCTAGCATTTGTGGAAAAAGAAGATGCCCTAACCAGCTTCAGAAGGCACAGAACTAGCTTTTTAAAGTGGAGTAAGTTCTGCTGGCTCAGAAGGATCTCAGTATTTCGCAGATCATTTTGCTCTCAATGGTCCTTAAAGAAGCATTTGCCTAGCTATCCCAGCCTCCTGCAGAAGGGGACTGCCCTGACATTAAGGCCATGTGAGTGGGTGGAATTACAGGGGTGACCGTTCAAGCCAATCCAGACAAGGAATCATTAACCGGTTGGAGGAACCAGAGCCACAAAGAGTGAGTGCTGTGACTAGGGCTGGATCTCCAATGTTCATGAATTTACTGAGTGCCTACTCTGTGCTAAGGCACTGTTTTTAAGCACTGGAGACCAAAATAAAAATTGAGATGACTCTTGCCCTCAGGGTTTAATATAGTAGCTCTTAAGTCAGGATTAGAGCAGGGGTTGGCAAACTATAGCCCAGGCAGGCTGTTCTGTCAATAAAGTTGTATTGGAACGCCAGCCATGCTCATTCGTTTAGGTATCGGTCACCGATGTTTCTGCACTACAACAGCAGGGCTAAGTAGTTGCAACAGAGACCATATGGCCCGCAAAGGGTAAGATAGTAAAAATATTTACTATCTTGCCCTTTACAAAAAAGTTGCCGAGCCCTGTGTTAGAGGAAAGCACTGACATAAAACTAAGAAATGAGACAGGTAGTCAGGGAACATAAATGATTTGCATAATAAAATCTCAAAGAGCAAGGAGGCTGGTTGAACTAACAAAAGCATGAATTTTATGAGGCTTGACACCTTTGAAGAGATAAGTCAAAATAAAGTTGCTTCTAAAATGCAAATTAACCATATGCACTGGTTTAAAACACACAAACCACTTAAGGCAAGCCAACCACTTGATCTGTGCAAACGGAAAAAGTGATCAGTTCCAACTTCTAAAGGAAACTGGTTGTGATGAGTCCAAATACAAAAACAGGGATACTGTCATTTATAGGTGCTCTACAGGATTTTTCAAGGGTAATTTTGACTCTGCTTGATTTTTCCTTTAGGGCACACTCTGAACTTTGGAACCTAATGCATGCACAGGGTCATGACTTCACAGTACTTAACACTAACATGCTAAAGCACCTGTCTTAATGAACAGGTAAGAATGGTTTGTATGGAAATTCCCTGGAGGTCCAGTGGTTAGGACCCTGAGCTTCCACTGCAGGAGCAACCGGATTCAATCCCTGGTCGGGGAACTAAGTTCCCACAAGCCGAGAGGTGCAGCCAAAAAAAAAAAAAAAGAATGGTTTGTATGTTACGCTCTGTTTTTTTTATGTTTTCATTTTTAAACAAAGGAAGAGAGGCTGCTTTAGCACTTGGGGTTGATCAAAGCAGTCTGTTTTCTTTGCTATTTGAAACACCAACTGGAATCAAACTGGTGTTAAATCTGAATTCCTTCTAAAGAGAAGGCTCATTAAATACAGATAGCCATAGCCTGGCCCTGGGGAAACCACTGGAATTAATGAGTGATAATAGTTCTTGCCCTTTCATTCTCCAACAGCTTAGACAAATCTCAAGGGACCGCTGCTGAAAGCATCCTGCTGCAAATAACAAGAAAATCACCAAAGCCTGAAGCAGAAAATGCCAAGGACAGGGGTTGGGGAGCTTATTCTTCATAAGAACACCAGGTGCTAAGAAAATACGGAGGAACACGGTACAAAGGGTACTTCAGTATATTGTGGATGCTGTCACTGAAATGCAGAGTACATGTCCGCTTGGAGGACAGGCTCCAACTTTCCAAGCCACTGTCCTTACATGGAAAAGCTCTGAGGTGCACCCAAAAAGGTGCACAGTAGCTGACGGAGGAGTTAGAGGTAGTAAAAGTGTGCATATAAAAATCAAACCTGTTTTGTAAAGCCCACTGTAGAGAGCATGCTTCAGAATGGAATTTGGCTGTATTCCAGAAAATAAGCTGCATTTCAGGAAGGACATTAAACTAAAAGATTAGAAAACATGGGAATTCCCTGGCGGGCCACTGGTTAGGACATGGCACTTTCACTGTTGAGGGCCGGGGTTCAATTCCTGATTGGGGAACTAAGACTCCCCCCCCCCGCAAAATAAAACAGTGTGCGGGTCTTCCCCCATGGCAGAAGGGGGCCTGGGTCTCACATCCACCAAAAAATGCCAGCACACTTCCAAATGCTCTAAGAAGACTTTGCACTAAGTCACGACACTACACACCCCATGGAAAGTTGACGTGCAGCTCTACTGTACCCCACTGCATCCTGACTCAGGAAACACAGGCTCTGTGGTCCTGAGATTTCAGCCCAGCCTGAAAAGGCTGATGAGCAAAGCCTTAGTATTTTCCATCCAGGGGAGAAAAGATACATTTTCTTACATCTCATGACAAAAAACAACAATAAAAACAACAAAACACAGAAGAACCTCAGAGAGATATGTTGGTTCATTAGGCTGCTTTTTCAATCCCCCTCCCCCAAAATGCTGCCCTAGGGGACAGCTGCAGTGTCTCCACTGGTAGCAAAGACATTTTCTAGAGTCAACAATAAAATACAAAAGTTGATTTACAACACACTAAAAATATTTGCCTCCTCCAGCCCCAAAACAACCCTAAATAAGTAAAGAAGTCTTTTTCTTTCCCCCACTCCTAGCCTTTAGCTTGCGACTGGCTGGCAGTGATTTTTCCAGCAAGCTATTCCTCCATCTGTGCCCAGGCCTCCTCAGCTTTCTCGTAGTACTGGTTGGCCAGCCGGCCCTTCATGGCTTCCATTGCTGCCTCGGCTGCCTTGGTGTACAAGTCGCCTGAAAGAAAGCAAAGTGGGGCACAAAGAGGTGAAGCACCTGTTATTTTTGCCGCCCAGTTTCCCCGACCCCGTCTCAAGAAGATCACCCTGAGGTTACCCTTTCTTGCCTCTCCCTCCACATAACCTGGCTGGGGCTCTGGGTGGGCATGTGATTCAAGCCTGGCCAATCAAAGCACTTTCCCATTCCCCACCAGGCCACAGGGAGTGGTCCACATTTAGGCACAGCCAATCAGAGTAAGCCATCTCAATAAGCACAGTGATTGGTTTAGGGATGGGTAGGTGATTCCAACTGAGACAATGAGAATCAGGCTGAGGGCTTTTACAGGGCAAATTGGGAATATATGAAAGTAGAAAAGATAAAGTATAAGAAATAAAAATTATGAACAACCTCACGTCAGTTCTGGACAGGTTTTGCCACCAAATGAATTTGTGCAAAACATATAAAAACACTTGGTTTTCAGAGCTTTTTGGATTTAGAAGTTTCAAATAAAGGATTGTAGAGTTGCAGTAGTATTTGCTTGATTTTGTTACACCACCTTAAAAAATAACTTTTAAACTTAGCCTCATCCTATACCTGTGAAATCAGGAGCTCAGTATGTCTATCATGATATTTAAAAAAATACATATAGGGACTTCCCTGGTGGTGCAGTGGTTAAGAATCCACCTGCCAATGCAGGGAACATGGGTTCGATCCCTGGTCCGGGGAGATCCCACATGCCGCGGAGCAACTAAGCCCGTGCACAACTACCGAGCCTGCACTCTAGAGCCCGCGAGCCACAACTACTGAGCCTGCACGCCACAACTACTGAAGTCCACGCACCCTAGAGCCCGCACACCACAACTACTGAGCCCTCGTGCTGCAACTACTGAAGCCCGTGTCCCTAGAGCCTGTGCTCTGCAAAAAGAGAAGCCACCGCAATGAGAAGCCCACGCACTGCAAGGAAGATGAGCCCCACTCATCGTAACTAGAGAAAGCCCGCATGCAGCAACGAAGACCCAATGCAGCCCCAAAATAAAAAAATTAAAAAATAAATACACATATATATATTTCATATATATATAAAAGTGTGAATCAACTGATGAATGTATAAACAAAATGTAGTATCTATACAATGGAATATTATTCAGCAATAAAAAGGAATAAAGTACTGATACAAGCTACAACATGAATGAACCTTGAAAGAAGCGAAGACACAAAAGGTCACCTATTATACGATCCCATTTATATGAAATGACCAGAATAAGTAAATCTATAAAGATGAAAAGTAGGTTAGTGGTTGCCAGGGATGGAGGGAGGGGGAAATAGGGAGTCGCTGCTAAAACAGGTACCAGGTTTCGTTCTGGCGTGATGGAAATATTCTGGAATTAGGTAGTGCTGATGATGGCATAAGACTGTGAATATACTAAAACCCACTGAACTTTACACTTTAAAATGTTGAATTTTATGTTATGAAAATGTCAGCTCAATTTGTGAATTAAAAACAAACCTCCCAAACTCCTAATATTTGACTATTAAAATATAAAAATGTTCGTCTGCATACCAACTGCATAAAGCCCCCTTCTAAGCCAGCATCATATGGGTATCCAGCCTGGCAAAAATACAGGGCCAGTACAAATCTTTCTCCCAACCAGAACTGAAAGAAGAGACTCAGTCTTGCATGTTGCTGTAACTCCCAGCGAGACAGGAATTACATCTCTCACTGTCTAGCACTGTCCCACCCCAGGGGCAGGTCTGCCAGGCCCTACCTGATCTCTGCGGGTTCTTCTCCAGCCCACAGCCGCCTGTGAACAGCATCTCTGCCTCCCTGGCCAGCAGCAGGTACCGGGGCTCATCGTGCATCCCATCATACTCCCCACCTTCATCACAGTCAGTTGTCTCCAGGGCAGTGTTGTACCAGAGTAGAGCCTCTGGCCAGCTTTGGGACCTTGCCAAGAGATACAGAGGAAAAGAGGGAAGTTACCATAGCAGCAAGGCAGGAAGGAGGAGGCCCATCAGCAGGACGGGTAAGTCAGGAATCCCTGTGGGGCCACCACCTCTGATTCAGGACCCATAGGACCCAATGCCACCACATCCAAAGGGCGTCATTTACATTGTAGATTTACATATTTATTACAATAGTGGTCAAGCAGTTTTCCCTAAAAAAAGTGGGATAGTAAACAATTTTCCAACAGATGGAAGTAGAGCATCTTGAAGAAGGGGAACATTTTCCTCATTTGCACAAAATCACCCTATGGGAATTCCCTGGTGGTCCAGTGATTAGGACTCAGTGCTTTCACTGCCGTGGCCCGGGTTCAGTCTCTGGTCGTGGAACTAAGGTCCTGAAAGCCGCACGGTGAGGCAAAAATAAAAAAAACAATCACCATATGGGTGAGTTTTGCATTAGCAGTGGCTGGTGTCCCAGCCAATTTACCCTGTGACTCACACAGGAGAGAAGGTGGGTGGGGGACTCTCTGTCGAGGCCTCCAGAACCTTCTCACAGCAGTCATTCAGCCCCATCTTCTGCTCTGCCTCTTCTGGCCAGCTCTGGCTCTACTCCAGCAAATGCAGAGTTTACCCGGAATAGCTGACTTCCCCCTTCTGGCTCTGCCCTCTACCCTCAACTCTTTCTCCTACTGCAGCACATGAATGGCCAAACCACCAAGGGCGTATGCTGAATTCAAGTTCCAGCTGAATCTGAACAATACAAAATAAAGAGCAAACAGGGCAGTGGGCTCTTTTCCTTGGGGTTTACTAATGCATATTACCAAACATGTGAGTAGCTATTTAGAGTGCATCAGGAACGAGCAAAGAGAGACACAGATAAGAAGGTCTATGGGCCTCATGAAATGTCCCAGGAGCAACAGCTATATATATGTATGGACCTGGCTCTACCCTCCAGTCTTAGCTCCTGTCAACCTCCTCCCACGCCAGGCTTGTTGGGTCACGGTCTCCTCCCTGAACGCGCCAGCCCCTGTCTGCTCCTTGGCTTTTGCACCTGCTGCTCCCTCTGCTTAGAATGTCCTTCCTTCAACTCTTCCCATGCCTGGCTCCTCACCTCTCCAATCTCAGCTCAACTTCTTCAGAGATGCTGTCCCCAAACACCCTACTTCTTATACTTACTGCAATCTGTAATTCTCCTGCTTACCTACTTACTTGCTTATTATGGTTTCCCTGACTAAGCCCCAAGAAGGTAGGGACCTTGTCTGTTCTATTCACTGCTGCATTCCCAGGGCCTGGCAAACAGCAAAGCCTCTCTAAATGTCTGTTGAAGTGGCTGGCTAGGATGCTGTCAGGAGATAACCCTGACTCCATTTTATTTTATAAAAAAGGGAAGTTAGGGCTTCCCTGGTGGCGCAGTGGTTGAGAGTCC